ATTATGTCACCAATTTCACTTCTAGGTAAATAGTAACAAGAATTGAAGACATATGTCTAGACAAAAACTTGTACACTAATGTTTATAGCAGCATTATTCATAATAGCCCAGATGCAGAAACAACCCAAATGACCATCACATGATGAATGGATACAGAATATATGATATATCCATATAGTAGAATATTTGTTCAGCAATAAAAAGGCATGAAGTACTAATACCTGCTGCAACATGGATTAACTTTGAAACATTATGCTAAATGAAAGAAGCCAGTCACAAAAGGTTATATATTGTATATTTCAGTAATGTGAACTGTCTGGAATAGGCAAATCTATAGAGACAGGAAGTAAATTCATGATTTTCTGGATTTGGGGTGGCGGTGCAACTTAAAGTGATTATCAATGGAGATATTAGGTTGGTGCAAAAGTAATTATGGTTTTAGCATTGTTGAAATTTGCCATTTGATATTGGAATACATTCTTAAATGTGGTCATGCTACACATCATTTTAATGTGCATTTCCCACTTTATTTTTTTTTGCTAATGACTTATTAATTGCTGTTTTATATTTATTTTAGACTATGGAAATGATGTTAGACAAAAAACAAATTCAAGCGATTTTCTTTTTCGAGCTCAAAATGGGTCATAAAGCAGCGGAGATAACTCATAACATGAACAACCCATTTGGCCCAGGAACTGCCAACAAACGTACCATGCAGTGGTGGTTCAAGAAGTTTTGCAAAGGAGACAAGAGCCTTGAAGATGAGGAGCGCAGTGGCTGGCCATCAGAAGTTGACAACGACCAATTGAGAGCACTCATCAAAGCTGATCCACTTACAACTACATGAGAAGTTGCTGAAGAACTCAACGTTGACCATTCTATGGTCATTGGGTGTTTGAAACAAATTGGAAAGGCGAAAAAGCTCGATAAGTGAGTGCCTCAAGAGCTGACTAAAAATCAAAAAAAATCGTTGTTTTGAAGTGTTATCTTCTCTTTTTGTATAGAACAAACCATTTCTTGATCAGATTGTGACATGCGACAAAAAGTAGATTTTATACAACAATTAGCAAGCTTCAAAGCACTTCCCAAAGCCAAACTTGCGCCAAAAAAAGGTCATGGTCACTGTATGGTGGTCTGCTGCTGATCGGATCCACTACAGCTTTCTGAATCTCAGCGAAACCATTCCATCTGAGAAGCATGCTCAGCAAATCAATGAGACGCACCAAAAACTGCATGCAACACCAGCAGCTGGCATTGTCAACAGAAAGGGCCCAATTCTTCCCTATGACAATGCCTGACCTCATGTCCCACAACCAAAGCTTCAAAAGTTGAACAAATTGGGCTGTGAAGTTTTGCCTCATCCGCCATATTCACCTGACCTCTCACCAACCAATTACCACTTCTTCAAGTATCTCAACAACTTTTGCAGGGAAAACACTTCCACAACCACCAGGATGCAGAAAATGCATTCCAACAGTTTGTCCAATCCTGAAGCATGGATTGTTACATTACAAGATTAAACAAATTTATTTCTTTTTGGTGAAAATGTGTTAATTTTAATGGCTCCTATTTTGATTAGTAAAGATGTGTTTGAGCCTAGTTATAAAGAT